TTAAAAATTAATATTTAAGAATTATTAAGCATCGTATATATAAATTAATATTTACTTGATTATCATGAGATTTCGTTGCGTTCATCTCCTTTTCATGATTTTGTGTAGTTACTGTTTGTATTCCCCACACCCACCCCCAAACCCTCCCACCACTATATAATAAATTTTCTTGATTTTTATAAGCGATATTTTTCGAATGATATTTTTTTTAATATTTGTTAAAGCTCTTAATGTTAAATATTACGCAGATCACTGTTTGTAATATAAATAAGCAATATAAAAATTAAATACTGTTAGAAATTAAATCATTTCCCTAACGACCTCAATTTCCTACAATCTTCAATCTTTCAGTTAGAGAAGAATTTCCTTTCTATTAAACTTGAAGATCACTTCATAAACTTTTCTTCAAGAATAATGATAAACCATAATATAGTTTAAAGTTCAAAATCATACATTTGTTTTGAATAATAGTAGATAATATTTATAATAGACAGGTATATTTAATATAAAATAGCAAAATCAAAGTTTTAAGCTGTATAAGTTTTTCTTTTTATAAAATAGTGATAATAAATGTTTATCGAAATTGGATTTATAATATATTATTAACATATACAACAAAGTTATAATTTATGTTATTTCTTCGTTTCCCTCTCATTGTTATTGGTATTATGATTATTATTATTATTATTATTATTATTATGATTATTATTATTATTATTATTATTATTATTATTATTTAAATTAATGTAAAATTCATATTATTTTTTATGAAAAATATAGAAGAAATGAAAATGAGTAAAAATAAGACATTTATACTTATCATTTATGTTCGAATAGCGTGGGTAAAATAAATTGGGCTATAACCAGCGATTTGTTAAAATAATGTTTCGTGATGAATTATGTCTGTTGTGCTTATTAAAGTGAAAAATTTAGGACTTTGTTGTCGATTAAAAGTACAGAAGAATTTCTTAGATCATTACGCGCACTATTTTCTTCTTTTTCAATTTTCCGTGCTAAGGTCCTGAAACTAATTTGCGCACGGTTTCTCAATTTTCGCGCGGCTACAAAAAAATAATAAAAAGGGAGGAGCTTCTTTAGCGTCTCACGGTTTGCGGCTTCGTATATTTTTCTTTGCCAAGCAAATTAGAGTATTACGCTGCCAAGACGCCCAAACTGCTTATCCTTACACAGAATTGCACACACTTTTTCGCGCCTTTGCGTTCTTTCGCCAAGCGTATTCGCACTTTCTTTACGATATTTTTTTCACCGAGTTGACTGCTTCTTTTCCTCGCGTTGCAAACCACCAACAAAATGGCCGAGATAATACGGTCACAGGGTCATCGTCCACACTATTTCTTACTTTGCCCAGAGCTATTAAGGTTTTTTTTTCTCTCCATAACATCTGTACTTCACCTACTCTTACAATATATAAACTCTCTCTCTCTCTCTCTCTCTCTATACGTCGTTTACACTTTTATGGTAAATAGTTGTATCATCCGTTTACACAAAAATAATGCATAAATTTTTCATATTTTTCAGAATATTATTAAATTACTTAGCTTTGTTATTAAAGTTGTATGTATATATATATATATATATATATATATATATATATTTAAGAACAAATTTTTATAGTATAAATTTTTTTAATTCATGTAACGAGAAACTGTTTTTTAAGTCATTTGATAATAAAAGTTTGCTAAGTATAAAGAGGCTTATTAATTTCAATTTAATATATACTTTATTAAAAAAAAGTATTAGCTTGGAGATCGAGAAATATTGGAATCTACGTACTTGAAATTTCAAACAATCGAATAGCGAATGTCTTTTATCAAATATAATTGTGTATTAGAATTGAATAGGGACTTTAATGCGAATGATTAAAAGGCGAATTGAAAGCGTTGCTTCCTTAATTCTCGAAATGCCTCGGCAGACATCGGCACAATGACGACAGTTTTACGTTGCTCTTTTGAAAAATCACCAGGTCAGGAAAGGTACGCGTAACGCAAAATGTAAATGGATATAGAGTAGACTTAATATTGTTCGTAATTTGAAATTTCCTATTTAGAGCTTGCTAGAAACGCCTACGACAGTGTAATTCTTAAGGGATACTACAGGTATTTCCATAACGTTCGATTGGAATTGCGTTTCGTGTATGAAAGAAAATATCCTGTTACCGATTAGCGTTTCAGCATAGAGGGCGTGCTTTCCTTACTCAATCGCGCATCTACAAACCAATTTCTAAGATGTTTTGACAAGGAATCTAATGCGATTCTATCCTGGTGAATGGTTTGTTTCTATATATATATATATATATATATATATGAAGCTGAACACGTAGGATCATATTCCTGAAAAATGATCACGGATCCTAATTTGTGTGGCGATTTATACGCTTTTGTGTGCAAATTTAATTCGAACAATATGTGCTATGTTTATCTATGCATTTACATTATGGAAATTATAAATCATCGAAAGTATAAAATATTATAATAAGAATTATAACTTTTGATTTTATGTTGGGACATTTGATAATTCATATTACTCGTTAGCGTCTAACTTCAGATTATCTTAAAAAATAAGTAAGAATATGTATCGAGTGTATTATTATATAATATATAATAATTAAAGATTTGTTAAGCTTTATAATTCTAATTAATGGAGATGGGTAGTGTAAAGTTTTGGCATGATGATCGTCATCATGATAAAAATTATGGAAATAATTTAGTATATTAATGTTTAACTTCGAATTGATAAAATGCAAGTCTTTTACACGCTCGTTGCAGGTAGTTTAATTTTGAAGTATTTAATTCCCGAATTCACTTGTATGACTAAAAGTTAATTATTATCATATATAATTTATAATCGATTACTAGTCTGTCACTAGAAAAACTAATTAATTAATTATAAATAATTTGAAATAAATGCATTTAAAAAATTTGTAACGCAAAAATTTATTTATAAAAGATACTTAATGAAATTCAAATATTTTAAAAGTCTCATTCGATAATATAGTGATAAATTTTTCACCAATTAATATTCACTTTTAAGAAATATTGTTTTCCAATCTCTCTCTCTCTCTCTCTCTCTCTCTCTCTCTCTCTCTCTCTGACTTTAAAATATATATTTGTAGACAAATGACGATTTATTAACCGTTAATAGATATACGAGGCATAAATATTTTCTTTCTTAAGTGCGCGATCATGTAAATGATGTCGAGGCGCAAGGAATCGCGTCGCCTCTCCCTCTACTTCATTTACTCCTCATCAGCATTTTTTGCCACTTAGTGCGACGAAGTTCTCGCCGGATTTTAACGCGCGGGTGAAATAAGCACTTTCATCGCACTCCTTTGAAATAAAACTAGCGTTGCGTAACGAGCTGCGTTTTGACTCGGGGAAAAATAATAACGATATTTGTTGAAGTCACCCCAAAAGCGCGAACATCATCGCTGGTAATCATTTTCAACCTGTCATTATACATTTGGAGGGAGATCGGTTTTGGGAACCTGTATGAGAGGAAGCGAGCGAAAATATCGGTTAATGGCTTGGAAAAATCGGAAGCATCCGTGGTACGCATGAATACGAAATGAAGCTCTCCATCTTGCTTTATCCTCGTGCACGAGTGACGTCAGCCCATCTGCAGTTATATTACACTGGGGGACGACCGCAGTGGTTGTCATAACTCATGTCTCTCTCGAAGAAATTTACAGATAAATTTTATTTCTTCCAAAATTGTTTAAAGGGTGTATGTATTATTCGGTTGATAAGCCTGAGTATCTGGATTGTCTATCGTATCATATGCTTTTGAAATTTACAAAGCGATTACGGCATATTCCACTTTTTGCATTATTTCAAATGACTCGCAATTATAATAACTGAATTTAATATTTTCAAACTTGTTTACATCATTTAAGATGAAGCCTTATTAAAGAGATACTAAAACAATAAAATTCTTTTACATTAATTTTGTGATTTTTAACAAATGATTATAATGCTCTTTTAAAAATTTTCAAAGCAATAAATTTTCTTATTATCATAATTAATTATAATTAAATAATTATAACACTATTTAGAAATTCCGAATTAAATAAAAAAGTGTCTATTTGAAAAACAATATTATTTTTAATTGTAACAATAACACTCGTTAATGATTGACATAATATCGATTTGTATAAATGAATAATCAATTTTCTATAAAAACTCATTTGTTGCTATTCATAAAATTTTCAAATAGAATTATAAACAATATGTGTAAATTTTGTTCAAAATACGTGTCGAGGAAGTAATTAATTATGCTATATAAACTAATATATTAAATAATCTGTAGAAATAGTTTTTTTAATTCACAAATAAAAATAAATAAGACATTATAATTTATTTCAAACGCTTTTAACATTCATTAAATATATATTTGATGACATTTGAATTATAATAAAATATGATAAATATAAAATACTTACATTGTTACCAGAAATATTAGTACAATCATGAGATTATAAGAAATTATAGAAGATTTAAAGTACTAATATTTGAATTATTAATCGAAAATACTTGGTAAAAGTTTTATACAATTATTTATAAATATATAGAAATAGTTTAGCTATTATATTTGGAAGTATTATACCGGTTAAGGGTATAATCTTATTTCTATATAAGTTTTAAATTTTAACAATAAGGATACAATTTACATTGAGATAAATAGCATTATAGATACTATTATTTAATAAAATAAAAATAAAAGTATTTTATTTGATTAAATTGGCTATTAAATGAGCAATACATTAAATATTGTTTACTTCATAATCGTACGTAAACATATCATTTTTACATTTGCATGCATATGAGTGCGTGTGCTCGTGCATACGTGTGTGTGCATTCGCATACATATACGATTATTTGTATCGATATATTTCACAATACTTATAAATAAAGATAGGAGAGATACTCCAATTATAAAATTTAATATATAGTTTTGTTTATATGAGCAATTTATTCTCTTACCTGGACTTGAACTTGAAAATGAATTTTTCGATTGTGCAAAGCCTGAAAAATAAAATAATAATTTTATAATCTGTTCATATAATTTGTAAAATATTTCGATAATTCCAATGTAACTTATTTAAATTTGTAAAATTTGGCTACCGCTAATATTTAATATATAACACAACTTTTAAACTTATTTAAAAGCCATTGGAAATTTGTAAATAATACCTTATCAATCAAATTATATTAAATTTATATTTTTAACGAAGAAAGTTAATACGAATTTAAAGTTATTTTTTCAATATAAACGTAATACTTTATTAATAAGGTTTAGTTTTTAATAAGTTAAATTTTATTAGGATTTCGTACAATGTTCGCTTAAGTATTTAAATTAAATATTTTTTAAGAAAAACTTTTAAAAATAGTGAACTTAAGCCTATGTCATTAATACAATCAATAAGACATCAATAATTAATCAATACCGCTAGAAAAATCTTATGAAAAACCTATGTAATTGATTTTACGAAAGATGAATTGAAAATTTTTAATTTAATATTGTATTAGAAGGAATGGATGAACTGGGGAGAACTAAAATATTGTAAAGTATTAACGAAACTAGAAGAGGAAGACTATGATAACAAAATAATTTTCTATGAAATTTTATTATAAAAAGAGATCAATAATCGCACAAATTTAATTTGGCTCTGTGTTATAAGAAAGAGCTCTGGGGGAAACAATTATTGAAATGTTACTAGTTCTTGGTATATACTTGGCACTTATTAAGACATTTCAGCTTGAGCTATTTTGTAATAAAGTTTTAACAGGATGTTTCGACTTGGATTCGACGCGAGATTATCTAGTTGGTAGTGTAAGAGAGGCGAATAGTCAGATAGAGTGAGAGTCGAACTGAATGCGAGGGCACGAGAGACAGAAAAACGAGGGCCGCGAAATATTTTCTTCGCCTGCGTGTCGAGGTCTTGCGGTGCTTCAACAAGAGCGACTTAAAACACTTGACGAGGGTAGCTGCGAAAATTGGGGAATGAAGAGGTAGAGAGGAAGAGGAGAATGAGAAAGTAGAAGAAGGAAAAGAATTTCCCGCGCATCTTCAAGCATCTTTAATGGGAATCTTTTTACGCTGATGCGGTGAGTTTGTATGAGACCGGAGTGTTTCGCTAATGTTAGCCATTTCACTCTGTGTTTTTTTTTGTCTTCTTTTTCTATTTTTCTTTTATTTGCTTTTTGTGTGCAGCTTAATTTCAATGGCATTCTTTCAGCATATGTGTACATTTTTTTCAAATTTATATGAATTTCACTTAAATTATTATTATTCCCGCACCTGGTGCAAATTAAATAGATAAAAAAGTTAATACATTTATTTTATGGCACTTTTTTTTTTAATTGGCATACGAGTGCGTTACGTAGAAAGCGTTAATGCTCAACTAATTTTTATGATCAAAAGTGTAATGTAGTATGATTATGTTTTTAATAGATTTTATAGCATTTTTCTTTTTTTCCCATGCATATTTGCAATTTACATTAATATAATAAATTGATAATTTATTTTGAATGTAAATAAAGTAATTTTTGCATTTATTTATTATTACATTTATTTAATTCATTGCATTTATTTTATATGCTGTGATCTCTACTACAATGTATACTGAAAATTTCGAGCCATTTAAGTATTATTATTATTATTATTATTATTATTATTATTATTATTATTATTATTATTACTATTATTATTATTATTATTATTATGATAATTATTAAAAGAAAAATTTATCTAAAAACTATCGAAAATGTTTATTGAAAAAATATATTTAATTTTATGTTAAAGTAATATTTTGTTAATATCATAAGTAATAGCACACAAAGACAACACACGTATTCTACCTTCGTTAGAATTATCGTCAAGACATTCTAAAATTCTATATAAATACATCATGATAAATAATCTTATTAATATTAGTTATATTGTTTATAATCGAACTTGAAGCACTAACGAATAAGTTTCTATACAAATGATGAAACTCTTCCTAAATGGAAGGTATTATCAAAACTATTTCTTACACGTGCAGTAATGAAGCTGCCTATTGTAACAATTTTCCGCATAATAGACTTTGCAGCGCTTTGATGTAATTCAATACATAAGCTTGAATGATCTCCCATAGAGTGAAATTTCCCCATCGCATTTCATTTTCGGCTAGTAGCACTAAATAGAAACCAACGAAATTGTTCATTTGGAATTTGAATCACGCGTGCCGCTAAATTCTTATGGTTATACCATGTCCGCTTCTTGTATTCATCCTTTAACATTCCAATTCCCCTTAATATCATTTCCTTTTATTGGAGCAAATATTGTATTTCACTATACCTATTAATCCGTCAATCTTGAACACTTTAATTGTTAATGATATATCAAAAAATTTCATTTTTAATAAACCAATGTTCTGAAATACATGATGCTATTAAGATTGATAATATTAATACTTTAAACTATTTTAGAAGTTCATCGTTACAAACGAAATAATTATGAAGTTTAAGACGAAGAAAAAATTTAATATCAAGACATTCCACTACCTATCAATAATGTTACAACAATATAGTTACACTCGTTGTCTAGCTCATATTGTTTGTATAAATGTTTTTAAAATAATTATAAATAAAAAGCTCATCCAACAACTTCAATCATTCTAACTGAATAAGTAGGAAAAAAATGTTCGTCAATATATTTTGACCGCTATTAATGATTAATGTCAATCAATTGCCAATACTATATAAATATTGTTAATTTTATCACTCTATGCGTCATATTGAATAATCTTAGATAGGCAAGTAAAAAGGAAGAAATCGCAACGGGAGATCAGGGAGAAACTCAAACCGTTAATCACGCGTAGTAGAAAGCCTATCGCAGCGGTTGAAGCCGTTTCGCATTTTTTTGAAAAATGATCTTAGCCTAAGCCCAAAAAAGGCTCTTCGCGAGTGCCGGAGTAAAGGGGCGGAATGCAGACATGTTGAGGTTCCCTAAATCAAGCGTTCGAGAGGGGGAAATCCACTTCCTAGATCTCGAGTTACGGTAATGCGGTATTTTGACAGGATCTCATTGTCGCCAAGCGGCTAAACCCCATTGACCCTATTATGTGGCTATTAGTATTATACTAGGATTTGCGGTTACCAAATCCCTCAATGAGCTGCCTCTCATTGCAGCATGTATCGCACGTCATCTCGTTTCAACCTCTGCTTTAGCTCTAGCTCTCTTTCTACCTCGATCCCCTCGCGGTACTTTTTCCCTCAGCACAATCACGTGGTTAGACGTTCTCGAGTTCGCTAGCGATAGATATGAAAGGAAACGAATGATGTGACATTCAAGGTATCAGGCTGATTTTTTCCTCTATCCCACCAAATCTGCGAGCATCGAGTCGGCGGAGCTTCACCACATCAGATAAATAATTAAATATTTAGATGACTTTCACATCTTTTGAGTGTTTCATCCATGAGGCCGTTAATCCGTCTCTGAGATTATTTTATCGATAAAATTAAGAACTCTTGAGGTTGGTACCTATCTATTTCAATCGACTATTTACATTCACAATTTTTGTAATTTTAATGACAATTTAGTAATTATAAAAAAAATGTATGAAATAGTTACATAGAAATTGAAAGTGCATTAAAAAATTTTTTATTACTTTGAGCTTTAAATTGATGCGCGCGCATACAAATACACACACACACACACACACACACACACACACACACATATAATACATTTCTAATTTATATTATTGAAAAGTATTAATAGGTATTAAAATAGTTATGTATATAATTTACTAACAAAGTATAAAATTAAACTTTTATCTTAAATTCTTTATATAAAATGATGGATAAGTGAAATAAAATTATCGAGTTAAATCAATGGATCAATGTTATTTGCAACGAAATATTTAGAATTTAACTAATCACCGGCATGTTAAATATCATTTCAATTTTTGACTACTAGACAGACAACATAAAATTAGTACGATTAATTATACTTCTAAATAAATTGCATCGCTAAGAAAATTTCCCGTAAAAGATAACGTTCGTTGTACTTTAATTATATTATATAAAAATATCATAAGACTGATGAAATTTATGGGAGCAATAACTGAAGTTCGAACGCGTGCGCGTAATAATTTTGATATAAGATGCACATCAACATCGAAATGGATGGAGCAGAGAATCAATGTCAAGACGACAAGTAGAGCGAGAGACCCATCGCATGCGTGTTCATGCGCAGTGTGAAGTAATGCTCGTACTACTATCAAGACCACGGCACTGTAATACACTCTATTATATTCGTCTGAAGGTGTCGAAAAGTAATCGGAGATAAATCGATTGAGTAACCATTTATAGAGAAGAGATTCAAAGGTGATTTATTTCGATCAGACACAAATGAGTCGAATATCAATCACATTTGTCCAGGCTTTGTGACCTTGTGTTTGTATAGAGTTCATTCATCGAATCCGCTTCCTTATTCTTTTCGTCTGTTTGTTAATAATTTCCCGTAATTGTGTCGTGCCACCTTTCATCGCGCAATCAACTTTATCAAGCGTACGTCAATTATTATAAGAAATAAAATGAAATCTTACCGATCCTAATATAATCGTTTCCCATTGCATAAAACTTTATATACAAATTTTTAAATCGACAAAGGTATATATGTGGAAATAGTAATTTCTCAAAGTTTATTTAATTTAATAAACTAATATAGTTTAAAAAACTTTACATATTGTTAGATTGTATTTTACAGCAAGAACGGATTAAAAATTTAATATCGATAAAAATACGCCTGATAAGTATAATTATTCATTCTGATAAAGTCGGTAGGGTAGATTTTTTCGACAATTAAATTCAGCCTTCAAAATGTATATATTCATAACGTTGAATGAATATTAAAAGATAAACATAAATATTTTCAACGATACTTTCTTTACTTTGTAATTAAGCATTGAATGTACGTTACAATTTACCTAGCATACATCGCAATTATTCGCCCACACATTCACCTACGCATCATC